GCAGAATTTTCTAGGTAGACCTAGAAATTATCACCTAGTCATTTGTGTCTGATACCACACTTATCCCAGAATCACATTTATTTTTTCCAGACTTTATTTAAATTGGATTTCAAAATAAATTGCATAGCAAATGGTAGGAGATGCTCAAAATGTTCTCTCTGATTTTGTAGGCTTCTAAGAGAAAAAATGAAGTTGATGTTGGAGGGCAAGAGATGAAACTTCATATTGAAATTGTGAACACACCATTTTATATAGTAGATAGAGTGACAATGTTGATGTGCAATTTACTTTGAAATTCCACTACAAATGAAATCACGAAAAATCAAAACGATTTTTGGAAAATTCGTTTTCTCCGTCTCTTTCCTGAAGTACTTTGAATTGAAACTGTCTGGGTAGCACTTTGTTCATTACATAAATACGTAACTTTGCCCCCACTTTAAGCAAATTCGTATCTCTTATAGTCTCCGAGATCTCAATGGTGAGGGTCGAATTTAAAACACCATGTATACCAAACGTTCCCAAAGATTATCAAATTTTCTATATACGGGGTACAGAATGATCTTCTGGACTGGATGGCTAAAATTGGGCGACGTAACCATCCCTCCTTTTTAACTAAAAAAAAGTGTCACCGGAATCTTCTCGCCTATCATCGCTACACGTCTCAGCACATCTACAAAAACAGCGTGAGTGCAGAAACTGCACTAATCAACTTGTCGTTGTTAACCTACTTCCAGCACAAAGCTCGGGTGATCACCGTTAGGAACACAGCCAAGGTCTAAAGCTTCTCGCGTCAAGCAAAAGATGGCTGACTGCTTGCAAGTATATTAGCGAAACATAAACACAATTTCGGTATACGAGAGGTAGATATCATTATCTGGGCTTGTGGATGCCGATATACGGCATCTTCTAATCCCGCTTGCTCCATTATGGGATTCAATGACAGGGTGTTTACACCGGTTTGGAAAGGACATGCATATACATGAGCATGGTGTTTTGGTTGGGAGATTCTAGGATGCATACGTAGAGGTTTATGTTAAGAGGTTAAGGAGTAGTTATAGGTGTAGGGTGATCCAACTTTGGATCCAACAATGGCAAGCAAATCCTTTGTTGCAAGAAGCTATGCATTACACCGGCCAGCTGGTTGAGAGGACAATGAAGTGTCTCTTTAACACATACACTACATAATTCTATGTAATATATAATACTGTAACTTCATGGTAACTAGATCTTGAGGTTACAGTGAAACGCCCTCGTATATCGACACAGGCAACCAAAATTACGGCGCCCGTCAAAAAGATTCGACCGCAATCGAAAAGAATCGACCGCCATCTAGCGAGCTTCGATAAAGTCTCCAATTCCGTCTAGAAAACGCTCATCAGTTCATAAACGATGACGTTCAATAAAAGTTAGTTTGTCTAAGAAAAAAGTTAGCTATGAGCAAGTATAACAAAAAAAACAAATGAATCCAGTCAGTCAAACGGGCACACACAATTACATCTTAACCCTCACACATTACCAACCATTCGTGAAGGTTGTCGTTACTAACCTCTACACTATCCAATCCAGAACTGCATTGCAGCCGATCATCGCTCAGACATAGGTCAGGCCTTGAAGCAGGTAAGTATATGGTTCATTTCACGTTTTTTGGTAGGTCACACTAAAACCACCGGAATCACTTTTATACATTTGTCACCCTCACACGCACATATGTAATCTGCCTCTGTGCACGTACGTTTCTTTGTATAAGCTTTCTTTAGCTTGATCTAGAAAATCGTCTCAACAAGGTATGAGTATTCCCAGCCTATGCTCCTGATTGTACGTGTGACATGGTTGTACATTTTGAGTTTACCTTTTACAGATCTTCGTAATACAAAACATAGCAGAATCAGAACACTGGGCATTTACCCAGAAAACATGAAATTTCCTCATGTCCAGCCCATCCCGAAAAGGGATCCAAGACCGATGCGTGATGAAGAGGTGCATAAATCGGAAGTTTCTAGAGTACTTCGAACATCACGGCTTGACTAGCGGCACGCAGTATGGTTTTCGGTACCAGAAGTGGAAGAAGTACTTTTCTCCACATGGCCTCCTACTCTGGTCAAAGCACAGGTAAGACATAACCTCGAGCACTCCTCACATGTTTGGGGAGCTGGCGCCCCAACTATATTATCCATACTCAATGGTATTCAGAAGTCCCTCGTCCTAGCCGTGTCGAACTTCCTACATCTAGAACTGGTCGATACGACCGCTCCTTTGTCTCTGGGTATCGAGACAGTGGAACAACCTACCTGAGGAGGCTTTTCCCAGTTCTACTAACTTTAGGCAGTTCAAAAATCGGATTAACAAAGTTTATTTAAGCTCCTCATACCAGCCAGGAAAAAAAAATAACTAGTTTTCGACAAAATGATGGGAGTATTTTGAAAAAGTGAATGAAAGCAATGCGTCTTTATCAGCTGATGTGCGCAAGAGCACGTGCATTTCAAATTGGTTTGCCCAGTGTGCGATTTTCCTATGAAGCTTCAGCTCCGGACGTGGCGTGGTTCAGTTAGTCGATTTGCTTATTTATTTCGCATGGCATTGATGATGTAACCGCCAAGAACCGCTAAAAGAAATTTAATAAATAATATTCGTACACACTATATACAACAAACGATATGAGGCCAGTGCGAAGCATGCTGTAGAAATGTCAAACGGAGACACTGTCAAAAGTCAAAATTTATGTAAAATGATCTGAAACTATCCACGAAAAAACCCAAAGGAACGCAGCATGGCGCAGAAAACTCCGGTGGCAAAAAAAGAAAGAAAGCGAAAGGACTACATAAAGATGAGAAAGGTAATCCGGGACCAATTTTTTAATTTTATCCAGAAATTGCGAAAGTCGCCCAACAAGTTAACTATAAATGAAATAGCTTCGAAAGGTGCACAATTTTGGAAAAACTTGGATCCAAAAAAAATAAAGAAGATTAAAATGAGCAAGATAAATATATCTGCTTCCAAGAAGGTGAGGCGGCCCAAGCGAAAGAAGACTGCGAAGGTCAAATCAAAATATATCAAGCTCAAGGAAAAGAAAAAATTGTAATAGTGTACGTCGGTGTACTGTCTGGATGAAAATAATATACGTATAAATTAATTCTACACACATTTTATTTAATGGTAAAATGTTTCTGCTTTTCCAGTGGTAATTTAACTGTTGCTATACCACGATGAGGCTCAATTAATTTAAATAAAATTTGCCTCGCCGTAAAGGGCAACATTTTTCTAGCCCGGCTATAAAAGCAAAATACAGTAGCTTAATGGTTCTTATGTTATGGAAATATCTACAGATTCTAACAACAAATCCATATAACTGTATAGAATGTGAAACTAGTCCTTCAATGTGTTTACCAAATGTCAACTTGTAATCAAAAATCACACCTAAATCCTTAATTTCGGTACAACGCTCCAGAGATAGCCAATTCAACAGGTAAATAAAGTGATATGTAGTTTTCCTACTAGAATAACTCATGATTTTACTTTTGGGTACATTAAGAAATAACTTATTGGTATCACACCAGTGCTGGAGGACGTCCAGTTGAGTCTGAAGGAAAGTACAACCATTCAAATCATTGATAACGGAACATATTTTCAAATCATCCGCAAAACATAAACGCACACTCTGCAAATCTTCACATAAATCATTGATGAATAGCAAGAACGGCAAAGGACCCAAATTTAAACCTTGCGTAATACCGGATGAGGCTAAGTAAGTATCAGAACGAAAATTATTATAAGAAGCAAATTGCCACCTCGAAGATAAAAAGACTCAAAAAGGTCTCTAGCATCACTAGAAAAACCAAATTTGATTAACCTTCCAAACAATACATCATGATTTGTTCGATCGAAGGCGTTCGAGAAGTCCGTGAGATGACGTCAACTTGACTATTGTTGTCCAATGCCTTCGAAATATATTGCGTTATGGTAACTAGATTTGTAGCAGTTGAACGATTTTTAATAAATCCATGTTGATGTGAAAATTGATTTTGCGCCGAACTATAAATACGATTGAAAAGTATTATCTCAAAGACCTTCGACAATATGCACAAAATGGAGATCGGACGATAATTTACAATGTTGGACCTGTCTCCAGTTTTTAGCAGAGGGGACACTTTGGCGACTTTCCAAAGTTTCGGAAACTTCTTCGATCGAATACACAAATTAAAGAATTTTCTTAAAAAAACCACGAATGCTCCGGCAAAATCCTTGATCAAAAAGGATGCAATATTATCAACATGCTTTTGCCTAGATACTTGTGAGGTAATTTTGATTCGTTTCGTTTAACAGAATTGTATACTTATGAATACCTAACAACACAGAAAAATGCAAAATATTGGAGACAACGCAAATATTTTGATGGATATTGGAAACGGCCAACCGAAACTTTAATCTAACTAAAATTAGCTAAAATTTGACTTATCTACTTTGCTTTTGAATGAAGTTCTTAGGGAACGTACTTCCGCGTTACATGTATTAATTGTAAGATCTCATTTTGGTGCCGCTGAGGAAGATGAGTAAGCAAAAAAATATGAATATCATTTTAATAGTACACTACATTCCTATTGTTGTTATGCTCGCACAGCACCTTCTTTCAAAAGCCGAGTAGAATTCAAGCAAGGTATGGTTCCATTATCTGGTATTCCGCGATTGTTGCTATTTGTGGAAAGAATGTTTCGTATTGTTCACCTTCCAAAATCACGAACTGAGAAGAATTGTTCATATGTTGTACCGATATTAAACATTCACTTTTGAGAGAAGAAATGCTACCTCTCAATAGGGTATTGTGGTCAATGCTGATTTTTCGGGTTAGTAGACAAAAAAATGTACCTATATATCTCGGTGGAGGCAACTGTTATGTCCATCGGCGATATGCGTCTCAGGATACATACAAAAGTGCTCGTCCAATAGTAGTTAACTTCTTCTCCAAGATATGCACTACGTCTATGGATCAAAACGAATACTTACATTCAGTACACCTCAAAGTAGACATAGCAACGTTATATTTATGAATTTGACGTATACACTTGACATTTCATTAATCAAAATTCAAAGTCTTTCAAACCTGCATCATCGAACATGACCCGCAAAAGACAAGCCAGTGGAGAGTCCCCCGGACACGACAGAAGCAGGCCAAACAACAGGCGATGTAACCAATATAAGAGCGGTAAAGTTACCATTAACCCATTCCTCAATTTTGTTCGTGATGTAAGGGTTAAATCGGAAGGTAATTAGCACAGATTTTTAGCTACACTACAGATAATACTATGATTCCTAATACCAGTGTTAAGAGAAGAAACGGAACAAAGACGACTACACGACGATTGTGTACAGGATTCTGATAAGTCAAGATTGTAGTATAAGCATATTAGACGAAAACACCCCTGGATTGCGAAATAATTGTAAAGTCTGGTTTTATTGATGCCAGTTGTTCAAGGGGGTATTACATCATGGATAACGCGTTTTTGAGATTCAATCGAAAGTGTTGGCAGGAACGAAAAAATAAGATTTACGTATTTATGAGAGCCACAGAATGAGACAACATGTAAATAGATCCGACTAATAGTGAACAGGTTACATCCGAAAGCCGAGGCAATATGCAGTTTTAGCACTTGTTGGTAATGCGACGATAGTTTCACGCAGATACTTGAAATTCTTCAAATTCGTAGGCTTCATTCTTCTAAATAACTACAACAAAATTGGAGTCGATTGGTAAAGTAATTTTTGAAAATTTATAATTATTGTCTAATTATCTGATGATTTCAAGGCTCACCTGGCGATTCTCTTTTATTACCTAAGATTTGGCAATGTCAATGAATGACATATTATCATTCCAAGGAATCGTTATTAAGAACTCTATTCACCTTTGCAAAAATCCAATATGTAGTCCTTAAGAAAAAATAAAGTTGGTGCCGGAGGGCAAGAGACGAAGTGTCATATTGAAATTTTAATTATGCCATCTTGTAGAAGCGAAACATTAATGGGCAATTTATTTAGATCTCAAGTCATGAAAAAATTCTTTATTTTCAATTAAGCGACTTTGTGGCTCTTACCGTTTCCGAGATCCCAATGGTGAGGGTCGAATTTAAAACACTCAGTACATCTAGTCATGTTTCTTTGATACAGGACTATCGGTATGCGAGATAGCAAGGAAGGCGGGCAGGCTATGGCACAGAATGAGCCAGGAGCAGAAAAGGCCCTACTACCAAATGGCCAGGAAAGCCAGACGGGAGAATGTTAGAGAAAAAAGAGAAGTACGGAAGGAGAAAAGTAGGAGAGAGAGGGGGACATCGTCGAGTGATGACAGCTACAGCTGTGCCGATAGGCCTCTAACTCGCTCCCACAGTCAACGGACTATCAGGCCCAGGACGGCGCGTTCCAGCAAGAGCATGTACCGAAGCAGAAGTCGACCGAAAATATAAAATATGTCTCTTGTACCTTTTTGCTCATTTGATGGTGTGCTGGTGAAAAATATGAGAGGACTTTGTTGAATAATAAAATTTTACAAGCTTTTATTAAAGCATACCTGTTAGTATGTATGTTATGTATACTAGTGTATGTGGGAAAAAACTTGAAACTGAATTTAGAAGTAGTTAAGCTTAACTTTTCGCGGTCAACATCGCCATACTGTATAAAAGGTAAGGATTGGAACTACTTGAGAGATACTATACAAAATAAATTTGGCAAAAGTATCCAGTGATTTAATAACCGAAAAATAAAATTTTACTTTTCTTAAACTCATTTTGTACCATTTTCATCACTATGCAATCATCTACCACCGTAACATAAACGATAAAAATTCTAAAAATCAATGTGATCAATGATTCAAAATATTTGAGAATTTATCTAGATCCCCACTCGAGATGGGACATACATATTACTTATACCTGTATATTGATAAAATCAGATTCATACTGTATAAAATAAAATTTCTAACTGATTTTAACTAAACAATAATAGATAACTACGGATACTTTATGAAGCTTACGTGGAGCCATACATAACATAGGGTATAGTGCTATAGGGTGCTGCATGCTCGACTTGTATCAACGATTTAGACCTGCTATAAAGAACAATTTTAAAAACAATGTTTGTTAGATCAAAATTGCACCTAGCTAATGACCTGTACAATGACGCACAAATATAGAATACCTAAAAACTTTATTTTTTACATACCATCACACATTATAACAAAACTATTAGAGAATGGAACACAATTCGGCATAGTCATACCATCGCATATAAATTACGCGCAAAAAGTGTTCCTAAACCAAGTCACTTCTAAAACTGCATGACCATTCACCAAATAATTCTAAACAATGACGTAAAAAAAAATAAAGAAATTGATTAGCATGCTTGGACGAATCAACCTTCATGGAATAATCTCAAATAACACACCGTAAATACTGCCACCCTTAAAAATAATATACTTTATTCTTTCTGTTCTTTCCGTTTTTGTCAACTCATCTTACAATTGATCCATATACAGGCCTGCTCCTATGAATAAATCATATTTATCGAGCTGATACTAGATGACATTTTCACAGTTTGATGGTTTCACAATATGTGTATTTACAGAAAATATATTACCATATTTATCAGATTAAGATTTAAAAATGGACGCTATCCTTTGCTAGCCAGAATTGGTATAGTTGAATCCAACTAATGCAGTCTGTGTGATCTGCAATGTACTCTGAATCATTTGTTTTTTAATTGCCCCAATTACACCGAATACAACAAAAGGTCCTCTGCCTAGATTTATCAGAGATTTAACTTTAACCCTCCATATACGAGTAGTACAACACATCTACTCGCTTTAAGGAGAAAAACTGTTGACATTATACGTTACCTGAAAAAATATTCAGCTCTCGTATTCCTACTGCCTTCCTATAACATTGCTTACCGTCTTTCCGCGATCCCTTGAAGATTGAAGTTATGCAATGAAAAGCAAAAATACAACCAATGATTACAATGATTAGAGAAAGGACTATCGAGACTACTGGTCTGAGTAGAACCATTACCCCCTATACTGACTTGCTCTCTTGGCTTCCATTGAGGTTTGAGCTTTGCGTCCATTGATACATTTATTCAGGATGCCAAGACAAGTGGCATGTCACAGATTTCTACAAATTAACCGAAAACACTCTTCCACTTGAAGCAGATATTCGAGTAGGGCTGATACCCCAATATACTGACCTGGACGGCACATATCTTGGGACCCGTTGAAGTTGAGAGCCTGTGCCCATTGAAATATTTGTTCAGTCGCCTAACATATAAAAAATTTAGGAAAATTGGCCGAAACAACCTTTCGGACCCTTTCAATTTTTACTTGGGTAATTTTTTGAGAATAAGATGTTCTGGTTGATATCACACGACTCGCGTATAGAAATTATCTCCCCGATCTTTGAACCAAAGATATTATACAGGGTGTGAACGTTATGATAGTCATTATTTAAATTGATGATAATATAGGGGGTTAAAAGAAGCAAGTTTCATATAACATGGGGGTCAAAACGGCATTTATTACTTACGACGGAACTCAGTGTAAATAAAGATAGAGTTTGTTATTTTTGGCTCTTAGATATTATTTCATTATTTGATAATGTACTCGTAAAATGAAGACAATTAAAAAACAACGGACTTACCACTAACTCTCTCAGCGCTTCACCTGGTGTTTGAACGTATTAAAAAAATCCACTTATAAATAGGGAACACAATTTTGTTACATACATTGTTTTTCTTTTTAAAACCCACACTGCACTCTTTTTGTATTTCCAGAAGGTGTTCAAAATGTCGTCCTCCACTTTCCACACAAGCTTCATTACGGTGAACATAGTTTCTTCTTACTCTAGGTCCTCGAAGTTGTCCATTTATTATTTCAGCCGCATTTCAATTTTTTTTCGCGAAGTTGTGCTTCAGTTGTTATTGGACCAGCGCCATAAACCATCTCTTTAAGTTTTCCCCAATACCAGAAATCCGTCAGATTGGGGTAAGGAGATCTTGTCGGCCATTTTCGAGGATCATGAGCATTTCGACCGATCCAGCGATTTGGATAATGTTCATTCAAACACTGAATGACGCGTCTGAAAATGTGTGGTGGTACCCCGTCATGAAGAAACCACACATTCTGTCTCCGTTGCAATGGCATGTTGTCTAAGGTATGTTCCAAAAGTTCTGGTAGGTTATTTTCTAGAAAGCTGAGGTATCGTTCTCCTGACAGCTTTAGGTGTAACTCGAAAGGACCAATTACGTGACCGTCAAGAATGCCCACCCAAATATTTATTTTAGCGTTGTTGGAAATGACCTTCACGAATGGTATGAGGATTTTCTTGAGCTCACGTGTGAGTATTATGGAAATTTAATATCCCGTGTCGCGCAAAAGTACATTGGTCCGTCGCTAGAATGTTTTTAAAAAAATCCGGATTTTCAATATTTTTGTGCAAAAACCACTAACAGAATGTTAGTCTGCAAGGATAGTCTTCTGGTAACAAGGCCTGCACTCGTTGTAAATGGTAAGGATAAAGCAAATTTTCCCGTAGGATTCTATGGGCTATGGTATGCGATAGTCCTGCGCGGCGGCCTAATTCCCGAGTGCTTATATCTGCATTGATTTCCACGATATTTAAAATTTCTTCCTCCTGCTCTACAGTAACCTGTCTTTCACGAGTGCGAATATTAGTGGGCTGAACACTTCCTGTATCTCGAAGTCTTTGGTACACTTGCACAAATGTCCTTCTGTCTGGGTGTACCCTTTGGCGAAATATGTCGCGATAAATTTGAGCTGCAAGATTTGAATTCTGACGAGCTTCACCGTAAACTATCAACATATTGGCGAACTCTTGATTCGAGAAATATGTTAATCAACATGATGACGTACGCGAACAAAAACAAAACAAACATACTAACCATTGTTACAGTTTGCGATCGATTGCCGGTTCGATAAGAGTGACCTAGGCGCTGTTGTCGTGTGTGTTTTAAATATTCAATTTAATGAAACTTGCGTACTTACTGACTACAAATTTTGGTTTAACTTAGAAAAACTTAATGCCATTTATTTGTTAATTAACCAATTTAAAAACGTTTTAGATTAGATAATAAAAATTAGTATTATTGTGGCGATTGTGGTCGATATAAAGCACTTAAAGTTTTAAACTATAAAGCCATTTAGACAAAAACCTATCGGCTTTTGGACCATGAGTCGTATGAACTTTTTGACTTGTTTTGACCCCCCTATTACGCATTTCAATAATGACTACCATAACGTTTACACCCTGTTTTACTCTTTATTCCAGAAAAGGTCCGCCATCAAGAATTTCTGGACACCATACTTGAATACGTTTCAAGACCTAAAGTAACCAAACATAATTATATTGTGGCATGTTTCTGAAAGCATTCGCAGGTTTTAAACCTCAGCAAAGTGTGTGAAATATATTAATCCAGCTTTCTCTGGAGCGAGTTTCGTTTTCATGTTTACTTAAGCCGCTCATTCATACAGTTTAAACGCAAAAAGTTTCATTCGCAAAACATGAAACCGTCAAATTTCTATGCGCATAATCAAGTACCGGGGACCGGATTTAAATTTCAATTAGCAACTTATTTAAAGATTGAGTAAACGAGGGCATTGTGAGAAAAAACCGTCCATAGTTGTCGGTCCTCGCTGGCATTGTGTTGCTTCATTTTAGTTGAATAATTATTCTACTGGCGGAGGAAGTATTGTAATCGCGGATGATTTTGAAAATGAGATTTTACGTTCTTTGGATATTATATGGCATACGAGTATATATCACCAAAAACTATCTCACTCTTTTCCGTAGGTCTGTCTGTCTGTTCGTCTATTTGTCCACCAATTCTTGGTCCGTATATAACTTGGAAAGTACCGGATTTTGATGAAATTTTCACACGAAGTGACTACTGTGCCAAGGACGAAGCTGACGATGACGGTGCACTCGCCTGGCGGTTTAGTGATCCTAAACGTTGCCGTTACTGGTAACGGGTAGGGAGTAAGACTGATCAAATTAGCCAGAAAAATGGAGACACGTATCTTGATAGCACTGAATAATGCAAAGCAGCCTGTAAAAGTATGATAAGACATCTATTAAGCCAAACTTTCGGTATGCATGCATTAATGTTTTTAAGGATTTCATGTTTGAACAGAGCCGATTTAGGAAATCCCGTAGAAAAAAGCCTCCCTGAAATGATGTAAATATATTCACTTTCACAGAGAAAACGTATAATCGACCTTCAAGGTCTGGGAGTAGGTAAATATTTCGATTACTGCTGTTGGTCCTGAAGGAGAGTTTCATACGGATATTTGACAAAGAATAATTTAAAGACTCAAATATTGCGTGATCCAAATTCTGCGTTAGTCCAGTTATTTAGAAAACATTGACATTATTTCATACAGTGGCGGCGGAGCTACGGGAAAAACAAAAAAAGTACGAATCGTCCCATACGTTGGTTTCCATTGACGTTTCAGATATTCCTGCTGATGTTTGGATTTTTTGTGGTAAACAGTGGACATGGGCGAAGGATTGCAGGGTTAGTATATTTATACGCTACTATCCCCGGTACGTATGTAAGCATTAATGACATTTCAAACACAGATTTGACCCCACATTTGCCCTCAAGACACAATGATAGGAATCTTTCCAATACCCGCATAGAAGCGCGGCGAAGGTAGAATACAAACTTGTCGCG